GAGACTCTTCTTACCAGAGATACGACATTCAGCATGCTGCCAGGTGGATTGAGCAGGTCTTGCCGTTTTCGTTGCTTCTCTTGGTTGTTTTCATAAGGCAGCATTTGCAAGGTGAGTTTTGAGTTACTGTTCTATCGAACACACGTTTTTGTTTGTTTTGATTTGATGATGTTGAGGAGTGAATACAGGGTTTTTCGTGACAATTTGGATTGCGGCTGTGCTTTTCAAGTCGAATGATATTATGAGGAAACAGACTGCGTTGAAGGTGTGCTGCTTATTCTTTGTGTAGCCGCGAAGCGACATAATGTTGTTAGGGTGTATATGAGAATTGTGTTGTTTATTGAGTTTGTTTGTTTGTGTGTGTGTTTTTGGCGGGTGCAGGGAGAGAGGAAAATACCGGTTTTGATTGGGATTTCTGTTGGGTTCGCGCTTCATGTGGTTGGTGTTTATTGGTGGTATCAGAATGATGATCTCATGTATCCCTTGATCATGCTTCCTCCCAAGGAAATACCGCCTTTCTGGCATGCCATTTTCATCATCATGGTCAATGGTGTGTTTCTCGTCCTCTCCTCAACGATTGCTTGCTGTATGGTTTAAATGACATTTTAATTTTACCTTAACTTGCTATTGAGAGTGTTTGAGAGAGTTATTATTGAATGTGTCGTATTTTAATTGTCTTCTACTTATCACTGCTTCATGTCTCTTTAGAGGCTTGTGATTTTCGTTTGTTGGAACTATTTAATATTGCCCTCGTTAGTTATTTCTTGTTTTAGAATGAGTTATTCTAAGAATGGCGAAAGAGGATTTAAACTGTATGAGTAACTAACTTGTATCCTTTGTCCATGATTCTGTCGAAGCATAAATTGTGCTTCTTTTTAATTCATTTTGGTTTGAATGTTGATTAACTGATATTTGGCTGCAATTACCATGATAACACAGAGCTTCTTTATGTGATGGAAGGTCTTGCTTGTTGCAGATTTCAGAATTATGTATTTATTCTTTGATTTGAACTCATTTTGGGATTAATATTCTTGCTTTGTCATTGTGTTTCACAATGTCAGATACTTTGGTCCGCCAAGCTGCAATGGTAGTCAAGTGTATGTTGTTGATGTATTACAAGAATAGCAGAGGCCGAAATTATCGTAAGCAGGTGAGGTAATAAATTATGAAGTAGTGGAGAAGTTGAGTTAAGCATTTGTGTGCTGAGGATAGAAGAACAATTTAAAATGGCTCATTTCTTCTCAAGTTATATTGTAGTGAACATGCCTTTGCAATCTCTTGTAATATTTCCAGGAGTTATGGGTTCAGGATCTATATCATCTCTCTCAAGTTTACATTCTGATAGTACTATCATTTATTTGACAGGGTCAAATGCTGACTTTAGTTGAATATCTTCTTCTGCTTTACCGTGCCTTGTTGCCAACACCAGTTTGGTATCGTTTCTTCCTGAACAAAGAATATGGAAGCCTCTTTTCGTCACTGATGACAGGATTGTATCTAACATTTAAACTCACGTCTGTTGTTGAAAAGGTGTGTTGATCTTTAAAATTTGTGTACAATCTATTTTATTTGAATGTAGTTTGTGACGAGTAACGTCGATGATTTTCTTCCATTAAATCATTAACAGTAATATTTCAGTTATTCTTATATTTATCTGCCAGTTGTATCCTATTGTTTTTCCAGTTTGTGCATTCTTTGATTTGTTTGAACTCGAGTTTGCTGACTTCTTTTGTTTGTAAAATCTAAAATTTCAGTTTCAAGATAAAAAGGGATGAAAATGATAATGTTTTGTTCAGAAGCTTAATTTTTTTTCTTTTTTTATTTCCAAGTGGGTTTTAAATTTTCGAAGTAAAAGATTTTTTATCAAGTGAGGGATGTTTGGAAGAGTTTTTCTATCATGTATTGTCTGTTAAGTTACTAGTTTAATTATTCATAAGAAAGTCCTAAGGAACCCCACGTATACTGATGTCATTTAGCTGGGATATATAAAGCGCTCGGTTTCTTTTTTGCTTTAAATTATCTGTGGATTGCATTTGTTTGCGTCTGGTTGGTTTTCTCTTATCCGTGGCGTGGTTTTCAGGTGCAATCCTTCTTTGCTGCAATAAAGGCATTGTCACGTAAAGAAATGCACTATGGGGCTTATGCAACATCAGAGCAGGTACCGTTAGTGTCTTCTTTTGATTGTTGATTTCAGAGTTGGTCAATCAATAGCTGAAGTTTCAGTGCATCCGTTTTCACTGTAAATTACATTTTTGCTAGTTAAATGATAGAATTTGCTAATATCTAAGCAACAGGCTTTTGCACACTTCACAGTATGTTAAATATGCATGTCTGGGAAGAGGGAGTTGTTCATGCAGATAGTTTATCTGATGGCAGGTCAATGCAGCCGGTGATCTATGTGCTATTTGTCAGGAGAAGATGCATGCCCCAATCTTACTACGTTGTAAACATATTTTCTGTGAAGACTGCGTATCGGAGTGGTGAGACTTTCTTGGCTGTTGATTTTTTAGTCTTCGGGTCTGCATAATAATCTGAAATTGCAATTTACATTTGAGTTGAATAATGTTAAAAGACCAATTTATCGCCAGTATGTAAATTTTGAAGCTGGTAGTTTGAAGTATATATGTTGTTTCTTATTTGTTTGCTACAACATTTATGTCATGTTTTTTAAATGTTAGCAGGTCTTATGTTGCTTCCTGTTTTTTGGTTACTACTGACGTGAACACACGTATTTTAATTTATCTGCATATTTTTTCTTCTGGTTTTTCTGACATCTGATTATCTTATTTTGCCAGGTTTGAGAGAGAAAGGACCTGTCCATTGTGTATGGCTTTGGTAAAACCTGCAGACCTTAGGTCATTTGGAGATGGCTCTACTAGCTTGTTTTTCCAGTTATTCTGAAATCATATATATATAAATACAAGCCAGGAAGTTTTTTCTGCTTTGAAGCTTTAGTTTCTCAAAGCAGCAGTCATCGACACATGTAAAATGCTATGGAAGGAAATCGAGGGGATACTGAGAAGATGAATGCAGCTGAGTACAGGCGTTCATATAATGTACTAGTAAAAGGTGGAGTGTATCTAAATGACCCTGTAAACTAGGAAGTTGATTGAAAATATAATTAAACTCGACTCTTCATTTGCAAGGAATGAAGGTCTCTTTCTCAAAATTGCATAGCTATTCCGTCATATAGTGCCTCTCAATGTGTCAATTTTAAACATATTTTTTACTTTTGAAATCCTCTTTAAGTGGGTTTTGATGCACACCTCAAGGAGTGTTGCCCACTGGCAGGTTACGGTTAAAGATCTCACTTCGTTTCATGTATTAGACGGGTCAAATTGTGGTTACTAGTTTGTTTTTGAAGTACTTAATTTGACCATGTACACAACATTGAAGTACTTAATTTGTTGGAAAGAAATGTCAGCTGTTCATCATATTCCCTTCTTTAATCGTTGTGTCAATAACTAATCAATTGTGTGGATGTAAATGGATTGGTTCCAAATATTTCCTTTGTACCTGAAATCAAGAGCAATCAATAGGATTGGAAAAGTATATATAGGTAAGGTGTAGGGAGAGAGGTCAAATCAGTTTTTCCTTAAAACTCAGTGCAGATGGCAACTTTTACTTGTTTATATTTTAGTTGGGTAAATGATGATCTTATTTGTTTATATTTTTTTAGGAAAATCTTAAATCAATCTTTTTCTTATGTCTTTTAATTTGGTCTTTATTTTGAAATTTTTTTAATTTTATAGATATATTTAAAGAATATAATTAACTTTTATATAATTAATTAAATACAAAAACAAATATAAATAAACTTAATCTAATTAAAATATTTAATAAAAATATCAATTTTAATAAAAATATTTATAAAAGTTTATATATATCTTATATTTTGTTTGAATTTGAAAATGATAAATCTGTTTAATTTTTAAAAAAATTATGATTACATTGAAATAAAATAAAAATACAAAAAATATATGTGTTGTAAGTGTTTTTTCACATGACAAATTTTTTATTTTCTTAAAAAAAGTAAAAGAAAATAAAAAAAGTAATTAAAAAAATATTTTAAAAAAATTACAAGTTGACACTATCAGGGACTTTAATATTTCAAAAGTAAAAGTCCAATTGAGATAAAAAACAACTGGGAGACTTATTTGAGAAACAGAAAGCATGTGATTAAACCTAAAATTTAACATAAATGATTTTAATGGTACAAGATTATAGTTTAACATATGGCATGTTAAGTCTATAGGTTAATGTATTATATATGTTTAAATACATCTTGATTACTCGGGTTGGGATGTACTCAACTTAAGTATAGTTAATCAAAATAAAATCATATGATCGTTGCGTGAGGTAAATTAATTACATTTATTGATTACTGTATTTATTTTTATTTGAGGTACTTATTTGAGTATTTGAGTGTCTTCTATATATATAATCCATTCGTCTGAGAGAAGATGAATATCTAGACATATCAGTCTAAAAGTATAAAATATTATAATATTTTAACAATAAAAAGTTAGTTATATTATTAAAAAGGATATTATAATATTTTAACAATAAAAGTTCAAACTATAAAGAAAATTTTCTAATTCTTTTTATAAAATCATTATGTCTAAAATTTCTTTTTAAGTTTTCTCTTTACCAGTACTTTTTTTTAAGATCAAAGATAATAGAATTGATTGTAGTGAAGAGCTCTAATGATTGCTAAAAATTTGCTGCAATGGATCATAAGATTCAAAGAGGGTAGTCAAATTTCCTTGAGCTGAACCAAACAAGACTTTCTGCAAAGTGTTTCAGACAAAGTTCACTTTCAGAGTTGAGTTGGTTTGTCACAATTTCATGTTATGACAAATTCACTTCATATTACAACTCTTCATAAAGCATCTCAGTTTCTGAACTCCCAAGACCAAGATTCATATATATTTGATCTCAAGTATAACATTTGCTTTGTTCTATTCTATAATACTTGTAAAATGTCAGAAAAAAGTGTCACATTCGAAATAGATCCAGCTCCAAAAACTTATGATCAATCAATACATTTGTTTGAAAATGAATTTGCCAAACCAACCTCACCATGAAAGGAAAGTCACACACAAAACAAAAAATATGGCTTTCTCTTCACATACCCCACTCTCTTCCTAAAAAGGTTGAAGAAAAATAAGTAATCGTTTCAAAGCATGCACGTATTTTCCTCAAAGCAAGAGAAATTCATCTAAGGCTGAACCATGAAAAGAAAAGAAAAAAGAAAGAAAGAGAAGATTTTGTATGTGGAGAAACTTAGACAGTAGCAGGAGTCTCAACTTCTGTAGTGCTGTTCTCATCCTCTTCTTTCACAGTAAATATTTCTTTTGACAGCATAGGTAGGCCTGGTGAGACAAGAACATCCCTAGCAGGTGATGGTGAACGTGGTGTGACTGATAAGAACCGTGTCACCCCAGAGGCATCTGAAGGGTAAACTTCAGTGACTTCTTCCATGCCCTCATTTATGTACACCACATCTTGCATAGTCAGCTGATGGTACTCCACAATTTCCCTTAAGAAACGATTCTCCCTTGCATATGTCTCATTCTCATTCGCCAGACGAGCCTTCTCAGCAAGAAGTGTCTCCAATTGATGCCTTATCTGACCACATCACAACAACAAACAGTTTATTAGGAACAATCTAAATGTTAGTTTAAGTCCTACATTGATTAGAAATGACAAAACCAAGAGATTTTGAGATAAAAGTGGTATCAATCTTTATATAGATTGGACTCATATATCATATATGTATATATATAATCACTCCCTAGTGAACAGCAGAAATATTAAAATGATCAATACCATATCATCATCATCTTCACCGTTCTGTCCCTTGTCACTGCCCCCTTTGTCCCGGAGTATTTTATTCTCTTCTTCAAGTTGAGCACATCTTGCTTTAGCAAAAGCTAAATCTGCTTTTACTGATTTTAGCTCCCGAAGAAGTAGTTTTGCTTTGGCAGCTGTTGCCAACGCCACCTGCAAAAGCAAAAGGAAATTATGATTCTCTACTCACATTAAGAAACCAAAACTGCTGATTCTGATATACAACTATCACTCCCTCAGTTTCATGCTCACAATAAGTTAGACATAGTTTCCTGCCTCTACATTGAGTATGAATGGCTATATAGGTAACAAGAGACACTCTTATGCTAACTTAAAACTATTAACAACTCCAAAATTATGCAAGACACTGCATGCCTTCACTACATGAACTAGTGAGGGCAGTGTCACATGATGATTGCGTAGTTGCCACCTTACGTCGCGTGATGCCTTGAGTTTTGATTCATGGCTAGATTGCTTCTCTTTCTCGGCAGCTTCTTGCAATGGATTTCTCAAATCTGAAGTCTGCTGTGTGTCCCCAGAGTTACTTGATTTTCTTCTGATTTGAGTTCTCAGGTCTGCTGTCTTACTCTCCATAATTGTTCGGCCTTCCTGAAGAAATTAGACAAGAATCATTGAATTGGAGAAAGTGATTTAGCAAGCCAAGTAACACATTAAATACAAAATTCTACTTGTACTCCTACTTGGGATATGAATATCTGATCTGCCGTTGAAACATGGAATTCATATAACTGCATTGTGTCTATCTCTGTTTGCAAACCATACTTTTTAACACTGATTACCGTTGGTTAAATTATTGGTTAATGCATTACCAATGTGTTAGTAATTTAACCACTTTGTAATACACCTTGATATATATGAAAATTTTATGTCTGCACAAGGTATTTCTGAAGTGTGATGATGGAAATGGCAAAGTGCATCAGTGCATATATAGACTTGTGGAGAAATCCAATTGTATAATGAAAGTGTACATGAGAGTTTACCTCAAAAGCCTTCTCAAAAGTGTCACCTAGTTGATTGAGGGATGAAGTGATTCTGTCCAAGCCCTTCCGAAATTTAGGACTGTCCACTTTTCTGTTAGTGTCGAGGGATTCATATACTGGCTTGAATTCTGAAGGAGAGTTCTAATCATGCCACAGAAAAAAACACAGGAACACACAACTTAGTTTTACGGTTCATGTGATTTTAGGCAGCAGCATCATAACATAAAACATACTACAGGTCTTCCTGCATTGTGTATATAACAATCACCTGAGTTGCAGGGGGAGCTGCAAAGGTATTAAAAGAGTATGATTTGGTTGTTTGGGGCTTGGTTCCGTGTGGTGAGATTGGCTTATCATCATCCAGAATTGATTTGGCTTTCTGCGCAATCACACCCCAGAAACCAGACTTGGAGTTGCTATTTCCGTAAGCCTCAAAGCTCTGCATACATTCATTTCAAGAATTAACCATATACGTGTGTGTTCAAGTGTACTGAGATTGAAAGAAACTCTGATAATTCAATCAAGATTTATCACACTCTCACTTTACATATATGCACACATAACATATCAAGTGACGAGATTGAATGATTCAGATTAGATTGACATAAAAGGAATATGAAAAATTCATCATTGAAAGATTTCAGACGATCTCTTCTCCCTTTATATTGTAAAGATATCTATAAGCGAATCTAATGTAATCTATGTAAGCAATAGTTGAAGAGTTATGATGGGAAATGGATGAGAGGTTGTTGAAATACCTTGGATCTTTGATGGTCGGAGTCAGGGGTGGCGAATGCAAAGGAAAGAGAGGGTTGGTAACGAGAAGGAGAAGGTTTGGGGGGTTGAGTAGGGAGAGATGAAGAAGAAGAAGAAGTAGAAGAAGAGGGAGGTGAGAGGATTGGTGGAGAAGCATGGCTATGATCAGAATCCTTAGCAACATCCAATGATGATGGATCATGAAATTCTTCCCTGAAAGTGGAAGCCCTTGATAGACTTTGCCTTCTCCTGTATGCCATGCTACAACAACAGCAACAACAACCTCAGAGATCACAAAAACCAGAACCAGGAGATTCAACTGTTGCCTAACCAACTCTTCCTGTTTTCATTTTTCTTTCGTGGGGGTTCATAAAATGAAATCTTAACCATAATATATATATATATATATATATATATATATATATATATTAACAATTGCTTTTTAATGACATATCATATAGACAGAGAGGAAAAAAAAATGTTGCTTTTAACCGAAACGAACAGGTGTGTGGTGTTTCCCGTTCCACATCATTTCTCATCTACACACAGTAAATTATCAGTTACTGTTAATAGCTTCATATTTTTAATATTAATACAAAACTAAATAACATTCACTAAATTATTATACATGTTCTTAACCATTAAATTTTAAGTTGATTTCATATTATAACCCCTTTAAAAGGTTGATTTCATGTCACAGAATTCCATGTTTATTTCTTTTGCTTTTTTCTTCTCATAATTCCATCATTGCATGGGAATGGCAATAATTTTTATGGTCCATTGAGTCTTTTGCTTCTCCCGAAAAGAAAAAAACATGGTTACGTTGATATTTTTATACTGTATAGTAAAAAAATATTGGATATAGTATACTATATGATATATATGTATATAGTATGGCATATTTTTTTCAGTTTTATTAGATTTTTGTGTTTTGTTATTACAATGTGTGAAGTTGTTGGTTGAGAAATCAAAGAAAAGGGAGGGTCATGCGCGTTTAATGACAACTCAACTCATAAAACAACCAGCGAAGCAAACACAGAATGAATGAATATGTCAATAAAGCAGTAGATTACAGAGATGTTTCTTCAATTCTTTTCAAGAGATGCTTATGGTGTTTTTTCTTTTCTGTCATTGTATTCTAAACCTATAATGTTACAGCATAAGTAATCTCTAACATATAAATACCTCAGAAGTTTTCATACGTAATTAAAATCAAACACCAGATTTTCTGCTAAATAAACTGTATTCACATGACATTATTATTAATTGTGATGCCTTTCCCATCAAACGAAGCAATTGTGTGGGTTTGGTAGGCCAGAATATGTAAACATGTATGCAACTACGTCCATTCCTTAAAGTTCATATTTGGTGGCTTTTCAAAAAGTTTTCATATTTTACTTTTAACACAACAAGGAAACATTTCAAATGGCCAACTAATGATATATAATATATATATATACCCAAACATGCATGTATCATAGAACATCCTTGGCACTCAAAGATTCTCTCAATCCATGTTTTTACTAAAATAATTCTTTTTTAAATTTTATTATTTAAGTGACTTATATTTCTTTAAATTTTAACCGTTTTTTTTACTTGACTTTTTTTAGCTTAACAATTTTTTAAATAAAAAATTACCTATAAAATAAATAAACTTATTTATAATAAAAATATAAAAAATATTTATATTTAATTTTATAATTACAACAGTAACAATAACAATAATTTTATTATTTGTTCTTATCCTAAAAAAATTGAACACATGTATTTTCACCGGTATAAATAATTATAATTTATATTTGATTATGTACTAAAATATTATATCTAAATCTAAATTTAATGATATAATTTAAATTATATAT